TATTTTTTGAAGAGGTGAATGTTAAAAAATGTAAGGCATTTTTAGTCTTTTGAGGTGTAATCATTATCTTTTTTTCAAGAGTGTCCCTATTGATAATGACTTTATATTTTTTGTAGGGTGTTTAATAGGAATAAATATGAAAAGATAGGGTTAGTTTGAAAGTATGTAACTATTTTATTAAGAGGTGAGATTTAGTTAAAATGCCTTATATTTTTTAACAGAGGAAGTATTAAAAATGTAAAAAAATATTTTATAAAATATTTTAATATTATTCTACAACTGTAAACGGTTCTTATCAAATTTTAATATCTTAAATTTATTTATGTATTTTTATATGAAATTGTAATAATAGTTTTATATAATATAAAATACCAGTCATTAAAAATTTGATCTAATGATAGCGAGGAGAAAACGAGAGGAATGAAAAATAACAAGAGCTTATCCCAATCAAAACGTATAAAAAGTGGCCAAGAATTGACATAGATAATAGTCTTATGCTTACGTAATATTTTTAAAAGCAGAAAAATACTCTTATAAAAATACTAATTATTTATTATGCTTTAATTACGACAAATCTATTATTGTCATACCACTATTAGAAAATTTATTATATATAAATAGGAGTTGGATTTAATAAAAAAAGCTAGTCCTTCATAATATAGTAAAATCAATGTTCAAATTCTTATTAAGAGAAGTATTTATATTTAATATTTGATCATGCTTGGAGTAAGGTTATTTTCAATAGTAGAATACTTGTTCACAATTAAAAAATAAAAGAAAAAAATTGATGCATATCTTTTATTAAAAATATAATTTATTTTATGGATTTTGGATTAGAATTATTTAATTATTAGATTAATTAATAGATTATATTTAAATTATATCAAATAATAGTATAAAAGAAATGTTTTTTTAACAAAGGGATTGAATTTAATATGTTTGAATAGCCTGTAATAATAGAACTATCCTATCCTATTTATGCTGGCTAAGAGATTTCTGTACTCCAGAAGAATAATAGATAAACTCTATAGACTTTGGACACTGTGAGCTGTAATGTATTTTTAAGTTAATTTTTATCCTCCCCAATAATTTGTTAGTATCTCTATTTAAGATAGCTTGTTAGACAGCGGATTGTATGTTATTCTTTCTGTTCTAAATTATAAAATATTTTTAAAATTTTTTCATCTTTAAATATAAAATATTTTAAATATATTAAAATTTTATTAAATACATTAATTTTAATATTATCCTTTCTTTCTCTATAATTAATTTTCATCCCTTCTCTTTTTAATATATTAAATAATAAATATTTTTAAAATTTTATATTCTTGTTTTAAAAAGATAAGGTTGTTAAGTGTATTTAATAAAGTTTATTAGCATGTGAGATTTTATCTAAAAGTATTTTATAATTTGGGACAAAAGGATTATTTTTTTAGTTTTATTTATAAATTACTTATAACATTTTTTATTAGAATCAAAGAAAATCTTACTCCCTCTGTTCCAAATTATAAAATATTTTTAAATAAAATTTCACATGTTAATAACCTCATTAACTACATTTAATAACTTTATCTTTCCAAAACAAGAATATAAACTTTTAAAAATATTTATTATTTAATATATTGAAAAGAGAAATGATAGAAATTAATTATAAAGAGAGAAAGGGTAATATTAAAATTGTTACATTTAATGAAATCTTAATATAACCAAAGTGTCTTATATTTTGGGATAGAAAAACTCTTTCAAAAGTGTCTTATAATTTAAAATGGAGGAGAGAGTACAATTTACTAACTTTGTCTAAAATTTAATAAATTCTTAACTTTATTTCTATTAAATATACATGCTTTAATGTCAAATTTTCTTTCACCAATATTTAATAAAGGATAAAAAAATTTAAAATAAAAATTTAATAATATGATTTATAAAAAAATAAAAAAAATCTCTTTCAGCCCTATGAAATAAAACCAGGGTGAGTGTATATCAAGTCGGGTATGATCCAAAGAGACAAACTGAAAATTCATCAAATTAAATGCACGTAGTACCATTATCGATTTAAGAATCGAATTTTAATACTTTTAATAACTCATGATGCAATAATTACAATGTACGCGCATTAGTGTTGTTTTCCCTCAAATATAATGTACTCTCTCTATTTTAAATCATAAAATATTTTTAAAAAAATTTACCTTTTCAAAATATAAAATATTTTAAAAAGATTAAAATTTTATTAAATAAACTTATTTCAATATCACACTTTCTCTCTCTCTATCTATTTAATACTAATTAAGTGTAGATTTAAGGTTATTAAATAAAAAATATTTTGAAAAGTTTATATTTTTATTTTGAAAAAATAATGTTATTAAGTATATTTAATAAAGTTTATTAATATATGAGATTTTATTTAAAAATACCTTATAATTTAGGATGAGGTGAGTATATAGTATTTTTATAGACATATTAATTGTAATCTCGGTCTATAAATGGACAGCCAGTTTTGAGCCATGATATCTCAAAGTTTTGAACCGCTTTAACTAAAATAAACTAAAGACATTGATTGAAGATAGATATGAAGATTTTCATTAATATCTCTTGTGACGTATATGTGCGTAATTTTTTTTCTTTTGAATTAACAAAACATATGTTGACAAAGTTTTACAAATCCTTAAAACTTTATTTAATTATCAAGAATCTCAGAACGCAATAAGGATAAAATCTTGACGATAATTTGAATTTAAATTTTTATCAGAAAAAATTTAAGTAAAATGATACCTTTTCTTTTTCCCGCCGAGATTCTTCAAATTACGTACCCTCTTGTGATGTCTTGAAAATACTAACAAACCTTCTCGGCGTCTTTCAATACGGAAATAATTTCTTACATTTGAAATTACATTTATTATAATTTTATTAAATTTTCGACCATGCCTATATTTATTAACATAAATTTTATGAAATTAAAAATCACTTGATTAATCTGATTAGTTAATTTTATAAATATTCTATAGAATACATTTTATCGTTAAATAATTTGAAATTTTTTAAATCTGGTGGTCCAACAATTAGGCAAATTATTTACTATATTAATCGAATATATAATATCAAATTATACCAAAACACTATCTATAGTTATGAACAATAATTATCGTAATAATTCATAAATAATTATAACTTAATTATATGTATATATATATATTTTAGTAATTCTTAGGTAAAATTGTAGTTTTGCCCCTGAAGTTTCTTTATGACTTATGAGCAATGATTATCTTAGATTATTCATCGAAGCAACACCTCTCTCAAGTATCAAAATTTTTGCAATGTTGCCTGGACTAATCGTCAACGATGCTGACTGATAAATGCAGGGTGAATCTTCTGTTTTAATTGATAATTGAAAAATATTTAGATTAAATGGCATTTTCAACCCTAAAATATTTGGGAGGAGTAATTGATGTCCTAAAATTCAATAATATAACTCAATTGGCAATTTTTTTTTATTGAAATATGTGGCATTATGTTTAGAGTACTATATGATTTGCCATTCCAGCCAAGTATTCATTAGTTAACAATGAAACAAGTCGTTTAACCTGAACTATAGCAATCAACTAACAGTTCTATGACATATTTTAGGTGTTAATCATATGATTATGTCACATATTTTAATTAACAATAGAATAAAGGGAAGAAATGTAAGCCATTATTTTGGCAAGTCAATTGGGCATTCCCAGTTTAAAAAAAAAAAAACTCTATAAATGCAAACTTATGATAAACTAACCGCATATGATCAATGGTTATGTATGTATATATATATTGGTTAGGTATAATTATAATTTTTAGTTATAGTCAACACTGTTAACTAGTTTGAGTTTAGACTTTTTAACTCATGAATACTTTATTAGAATGTCAAGTCATCATGTAGTACTTTAAATTAACATGAAATTGATTAAGCAAAAAAAATGATAATACCTGATACCAATTATTTTATATTATTATACTTTTGTGTGCTAGTTGCTCCTTTACAAAAAGTTGAAGCGAAAATGCTCTTTTAATTCGTGCTCCTTTGAAAAAAACCCTAAGGACAAAAATCTATCTTAACTCTAGTTTTCATTCAATCAAAATATTTAGTAATTCCTTCATCTCAAATTATAAAATAACTTGAGATAAGATTACACATAGGGCATGCTAATAAAGTTAGATAATGACACTTTACGAACTTATTTTTTAAAATAAAAATACAAACTTTTAAAAAATTCTTAATTTTAATATAACTTTAAATTTATAATCATTTCATTTTCTCTTTCTACTGGAAGGGTAGAATTGTAAAAATATCATTGATGAAATGTTATTTTTATCAAATTGTATTATATTTTAGGAAAATAAAATACCTTTAAAATTATCTTATAATTTAAGACATAACAAAATACTTCCAAAATTATGATGCAGCTGCTTTTGGTACACTCATCCAGAATGACCAAGGAAATTGAATTTGGGGCTTTTTTTTGAAATACTTTGAATTTCACCCTAGCACTATCACTTAATTCATGGGTATATTCTTGAAGATTTTAACATTTATTGGAATGGAAGGTTTAACAAAATTAATATCTACTCTAAATTTACAAAAGCATTCATTCTTACACGCAATAATTTCTTTGTAAACCATCCACTTAATAAAATTATTAACAAAATTAGAGAGCTTGTTATAAGAAATTAGACGATTACCTTTGAACATATTATTAAAGATATCACATTTAATTGTTTTAATTGGCTAGCTCACAAGACTTTCATCAATAATATAGATATTTAGATTTTTGAAATCACACAGTTTTATTGTCACAATATTTTATACGCTGATATAATTTAAACTGCCTTTTTATATAGTTTTAACTATACCTTGAATTAAAAGACAAAAAATATAATCTTAAGATAAAATGGTGAGAGAGGAAACAACTTTCCAGGCCTATTGAATCCGCAATCACTTAAAGGAGAACATAGGGGTGTCTCTCTCTCTCTCTCTCCTTCTCACCCTCTCTCTCTCACTCTCACACTCTTTTATCATTCTCTCTCTCCCCCCCGGCCTCCGGGTCCTTAACAGTAACTCAACATTCAACAAAGACCAGACCACACACACACCAGACCAGATTCATAGGGAGCAACTTCATCATCATCACCATCTCTCTTCCACCAAACCCCCCACCCTTCTCTCTGATAAGTCAATCCCATCAATCAAATCAAAGAATCTGAGAGAGAGAGAGAGAAAGTCCTCTAATCAATCAATCACAACACAAAAAGAGAAACAAAGATAAGAAACAAACATGTCCGCGTCGTCCACTGCTTCCTTTTCACCGGACCAGAACCTCCTCTCTCCCTCCGACCAGCTCTGTTATGTCCATTGCGATTTCTGTGACACTGTCCTCGCGGTATGTATATATATATATATATTCACTTCTTCTTCTCCTTCTTTACTCTTCTCTAATAGGTATGCCCTAATTTCTTAATCTTCTTTTAGGTGAGTGTTCCTTGCACCAGTTTGTTCAAGACTGTCACTGTGCGATGTGGTCATTGCACCAACCTTCTCTCTGTCAATATGCGAGGCCTGCTTCTTCCTTCTGCCAATCAGCTTCATCTCGGACACTCCTTCTTCACTCCCCAAAATCTTCTGGTATAATCCAAGCTAGGGTTTTTTATCCTTCTGTAAAAGAATGCTTCTAGTATTTACTACTGTATCTTCTCTGCCTAATTTGCAGACATTTCCAGGTCTGCAATTGACACTTTTTAACAGATCTTTTTCGTAGATATTGCTAAATATATATTAAGTAGAGTCATGGTTTGGAGCATTGAGAACTACTGAATTATTTCGGTTTTACTCTCAGGAGGAGATTCGAAGTGCACCTTCAACAAATATGGTAATGAATCAGCTACCGACTAGCCCAAATGATTCAGTGATGGCAATGAGTACCATGCGAGCGCGACCTGAGGAAATCCCTAAGCCTCCGCCGGCTAACAGACGTGAGGATATAATATTCTCCATAATAATTTCTCTGATTTTCTTTTTCTTTCTTGTTTACGTTTTTCTTTTCTTTTTTCCCCCCCCTTTTTCTATTGAACTGCGGGTGGGTGTACTCATCAGAGATTCTTCTTCTGATACCACCAAAGAAAAGTTAGAAAAAGAGGGTAAACAATCTGCTGATCAATGGTGTACTCTTTAATCTTAAGCTTTATAATGACCAATTAAACAATAGAGTACAGAAAAAGTAAGCAAAAGTTGTTTCCCCATCAAAGCTCACTTGTCAATCTGAAACAGTAGACTGTGTCTGAAAGGGGTTTGGTTACATGCTTCAAGTGGTAGGGATGAAAACCAAGAATCTTCTCCCCATTTTTCTCACTATCTTATAATTTATTCTAAACATTAAACTTCCAAAACATTCAAAGTGATTGTTGTTTCCAAAACAAATCAATAAACTAAAGTTCTTTCTTTTGAAATCTCATTTATGTCTATGTTCTTATGCTTTAATTTTCTTCCGTTCACTCACTGAGTGAGAGACAGAAGGATAAATATGTATGTAGAGAGAGAAAGAGAAAGAGACAGAGAGAGACAGACAGACGCACGAACAATTCCCTCCCGAAAATATAGTGATGAATCCATTGAGATTGTGATTGTTAGAAATATAATGATGAGGTAATGATGGGCGGGGGGAGAGATTAGGCAAAAAGGTCAGCGATGTGGTACTAATATTTGTGTGCCTGTAATGTTGGGGATTGATGTGCAATGTCTGTGTTGTGCATGTCCAGCTCCAGAGAAGAGACAGAGAGTTCCATCTGCTTACAATCGCTTCATCAAGTAAGGTTTAATGACATTTATTATTTTTTTAATCTGGATTACATATTCTTGCCAGAAAATTACTGGTTAATTTTCTTTCTGTCAAGTCATCGTTAAATATTACTGAAGTGAATATAATAAATTTTTTAGATATATATATATATTCATTTAAAAAATTATTACAACTAATGAAACCAAACGAGCTTAAATATTATACATGAGAATAATGAGTTGAAAGAAAGACAAAGAATTGATAACAATGTTGTGCTGATAGCAATTGGATTTGTGAAAGACTTTTAACATCATGCAAATTTTAGGGATGAGATCCAACGTATCAAAGCTGGGAATCCTGATATAAGCCACAGAGAGGCTTTCAGTGCTGCTGCAAAGAATGTAAGATCCAAGAGCATTTTACTTTATTAGAATATTAATATCGATGATATTAACTATTTATCTATTTTCTTAGAACTTCTGGATTTTTATTTTCACATAGATATTCAATGATATCATTTTTATTTTTAAAAATAAAATTTTATAATAATTTATCTAAAAGATATTTTCAATTTTAACCTTTTTCTTTAAATAAAGGTAATTTATTTAAAAATCTTTCTGTTCAATTAATTTAAAAAATCTGGCTAAAAAAGTATTTGTTGATGTTATTTTTATTTTATTAAAAATTAAACTTTCAAATCAATTATCATAATGATTTACCAAAATAAAATACCTATAAACCTTTTCTTCAAGAGCTTATGTTATTTTTAAGTCAATAATAATACATGGGTATTTATTAAATTTATGACTAACCTTTCCTCAATTCATTAAGTTATTTTAACCGATTGGGAAAGGTTGGCTTCTTTTATAAAATTAAAAGATACTCATATATTATTGTTGACCTAAAGATATAAAAAATTCATGAAAAAAATTGTACATATTTTTATACCTCAACCCTGAATAAATTCTTTTTTCACAAAAAATATTGACAGAATATAGGCTCTAATTTTTCACATGGAAAGGTTATTACCCCCCCCCCCCCACTTGGGTCTCAAAATTTTTGTTTTACGGTTCACTTGACTTGTGTCTTTCAGTGGGCCCATTTCCCTCACATCCACTTCGGTCTGATGCCTGATCATCAACCCGTGAAGAAAGCCAATGTCCGCCAGGTACTACTAAAAACCCTAGCTAGCTACCTTATCTTGATTTTTTCCCCTTTTCTTCTCCCACAATAAATTAATAAAAGCCTATTATTCACAGTGTTCTAACGAGTTCTCATATTTATGGGTGTAGGAAGGAGAGGAGGTGCTTATGAAAGATGGTTTTTTCGCTCCAGCAAACATTGGGGTCTCCCCATTTTAGACGTCATTTAGGGTTTTCTGGTCTTGTTCTAAGTAATGGAACTATATATATATATATATATATATGACTCTTTGAATTATGGATTGATGTTGTGGTCGTAATCCGTAGTGTTGAAAGCTGTTATCTTATGTTAAGGATTGTGGATGGAAGAGGATTCTGACATATATCCTTTGGTTCTGTGAATTAAAAATAAGGGGTTTTAATTTTCTGTTGCCATCTCCAATGACATTATAGATGTTGTAAGAAACCTACCTCAAGAATAGCTCCACCCTCCCCCCGTTCCCCCCCCCCCCCAAAAAAAAAAAACAATAAAAGAACTCATGAAGTATTTGCTTAAAGTGGCACGTTTCGTCGAAGGTAGTAAGTATTCAGAGGTTTAAACGGGCCCGGTTTCAAATTCTTACCCACCCAAGTCACATTTATACTGTGGTTTAATTCTTGTGATGGCAAAGGGGGGAACGAAAAATTTAGGATTAGTTTGCATGCGTATAATGATGTGGTTTACTCAGATGAGCATACAATAAATACAAAAGACGAAATTTTAGCTGAATTCCGGAGGAAAGCTTTGCTCGCAAAGTCAATCGATTTTTTTTTTTATTGGTTAAGGTAAAATTTTTATTCCTAAACTTTTTGGGAGGTGCAAAGGGAAAATTTGTCCAAAAAATTTCTATTAGGTGCAACGATCGATATTCTCAATTATCAATTGGTGTAATTTTGCCCTAGTGTCAGCAATTATGATTTTTTTGTAGAGGAAAATTAATAAATGTAGGAAAATGGGAGTTGCCACTGAAATTATTAGGGAAATCTTGGAAAATTATATAAAAGAAAATAAAGTTAAGGATGGTTTGCAAAAGATTCAAGAGTTGCTTGTGTGGGAGGAAGGGTATGAGGTAACCCACGACAACCATTCATATGGATTGTTACCTTAGGCCGATTGCATAAAATTAAATTGATCTTTTAATATCTTTATTTACACCTTTATAATCACATGCCAATTAAAGACACAAAAATGATATTTAATCAAAATAAATTATTTATTTATATTGGAGGACTTGACATAGGATAAAAGCCTAAGGCCTACGTGATGGGAAGAAAAAGAAAAAGAAGTAGTCAAAGATATTGAAGATTGAGAAGATTGGAAGATCGAAGATTATTAGGATATTTTATTAGTAAGGAATATTTTATTTTGATTATCGTAATATTTGAATTATTATCATCTTTTCATTTAACTTTAGGATTTTAAGAATATCTCGTATTTAATTCTAGACTTAAGATTGATGCTTATAAATAGCGTCTTAGCTCATTTGTTTTAGATGTACATTTAATTGAATAAGAATGATATTATTTTGCTTCTCCTTTAAGTTTTTCTCTTCTCTCTAGTGATCTCTTTCTCTCTTTTCTATATTTTTCCCCTTCTCTTTCCCCATTTTGTATTAATTGGTATCAGAGCCAAAGTTCACACACTGCTTCTATTACTAAACCCACTCTAAAATACCTTCTCAGTATCAAGAATCATCATAGGAAAATGCTTTAGGAGATAACTTTATAACTTAAGGATTCTTAAGTTACTTGGTAAGATTCTTTGATTTTAAGCTTTAATCTTTGAGCCTTTTGGACATTATTACAAAGGTATTTATTTTGTTCATTTGCTACTTGTTTCATTTCCTAATTCCTTTCCATTATTCTTGACTATTTCAATTTTTTCTTCATTTCAAGCCATTTACCATATTTCTTTCTTTTGCTCTTATTTTGTTTAGTTCCCTTCCTTTTCTTATTTAATTATTTTTCATATTTTCCTTGCTTTCCTTTATTCCTTTGATCCACACTAAAAAAAGGGAGAAAAAAGAAAAACAAAAAAAGTTCAAAAAAAGAAAAAAAAGGGAAAAGTCACTTTTAATAAAAATCTTGAGTTTATTTCCTTTATTATTGAGCTTTTTTAAGTTATATTAGTTATTATCTTAACTAATTTGTTGCTTTATTATTCATCATTATTCATATTTATTAACCTAGGACACAACCACCTCATATACAGTTTGACCCTACACCCAGGTCAAATTTTACTCTAAGTTAGTTGAAGTTTCTATCAATTTCTCCGAGGGATTTCTATAAGCCCCTAAAGGTCATTGTGAAGACTTCACTCGAGCTATTATTTATTTAGTATGTTTGATCCTTGAGGAACTTTTGAGTTCCTGAAGGGTTAGACTTGTTGAATAGGGTCTTTACTTTTTAAGCAAGGACAACTGGGGAACCTTTTCTCAAATAGGATATTAGAGCCTCCTAGCAAAAAAAAAAAAAAAAACCTTAAGATATCATGGCGTCATTCAATTATTGATATGATTTTATTGACCATCATCAATATGATTATATTAATTGTCATCGATATAATTATTATTGTCAATATGATTATGCCGATCATCACCGTTATGATTATGTTAATCACCATCAATGTCATTATCAGTATGATTTGGTTGATCAATCAAACTTGAATTTCATATGTTCACGCCTTGAACTTGTGAGAGATAAAATTGGTAAACTCTAAAGCTCCCTTCAATTAACATTAAAAGAAGGGCATTGCCACCAAGTTGAGAAAGACAAGTCATATTGAAAGGAAGAAACTCTTAATCGTATCAACAGTATCTTAAAACCATACAAAAACCCTAATATTTTGACTTCTAAAGGGATAATATGCTCAACAAAGATCTTTTATCTATATAGTAGTGCTAGAAAGCAATGGCATTGATAATTTTAAGATTAATGTATGTGATGATCTAGATGTGAAGGAGGTTTCAAACTGTATCGAAGATTCTACACCTACTCTAAAGATAGGTGATGCTAATTGTAATATCTTGAAAATTTTAAGACTTGAATTTATTTTAAAAATAAAATAAAATATCTATAATTAAATTAAAATTTAGAATAATTTGATAGAGGTTCAGAGTTTGAATTTTTCTCAGCAAAAGTTTGGTTTTATTTGATTTTTAACTATGAAAAAAATTATCAAAGTTGACTCGAGCTTTTATGCTATAATAAAAAATGTTGGGTCCTTTTTTATAATTTTCTCCAAAGTATTAGATCAGCATTTTAAAGGGAAAACTAAACGTAGAAACGCAAAAATGCAGAAATGAAACAAGGAAAAGAACAAAAAGAGCACGAGAGAGAGAACGGATAAGAGAGTGAGAGAGGAAGGAAGAGAAGGAGTTAGAGCTCAAATTTAGGAGGCTTTTGTAGCCATTGTGAGGTCGATTACACAATAGGTAAAATTCCTACTTCAATCCTCTTCCCTTCCTCTTGATTTTCTTCAATTTTTGGAAGAGAAAATTTCTTGATTTTGATCTAAAAGGCTTTATGCTTTTAAGCTTTAGTTTTCTTGGGTCCTTGGGAGGTTGTTTTGAGTTTCTACATGATGCCCTAATATTTTGAGCGGGTAATTGGATAAAAAATAAAGTTTTAGGGCAAAAGTCAAACCCCAAGAGGTGGGTTTTGCTCCTCAATGGTTTAAATCTATTGATTTAGTTATAATCATGCTATTTGAGCCCAATAAGATTTAAATTAAGTTTTGGTTTTTATTATAAGTATTAATGGTAAAAGTTGGTGACACTAAGTGAAGGTTTTAATTGATTAAAAATTATATGAATAGAAAATTAGCCTAGTAATAGTTAATAAATGGTTTTGGTGTTAAGTGGTATTATGTGAATGGTTGGTTGAATGGATTATGGCTCATTAGCTCAAGTTGTGTGGTATGAGTTATAGTCTTCATTAATGCTATTTGTCATAATAAGTAATGTGGATCACTTATATATTGTAGGGAATTGTTAGTGGAACTTATTGAGAAGTTAAGGAACAAGCCAAGTCCTAGTTTGTACAAGAGGAACCTTTTTGGCATCAAAGGGTTGAGGTAACAGGAAAATTTATATTTCTTATTACTTTGTTTTAGCTATTTTGAATAAATATTACTAGCTATCATGCATTACATATTTTAAAAGATTAAACGTGCTTTATAAGGGGTTATGGGGTACTACTTTGATTATAGTGCAAATATGTTTTCTAATTTTTTGATATAACACTTGCCCTGAGTGTTATCCAAAAATCACACAATTCAAATAAACTAAGTGTGGTTAAGGAGTTAATCCTAAAATCAAATTAGGAAATAAACCATTTAAATCACTAAGTAGATACACGATTGCAAAGCAAAAATTTACAACCTTTCTTAAATAAAAAATTTTATAGGTTTTACCTATAGCGCACGGAAGCAAGTTAGGTGAAAGCAAGGTAACAAGATGCTGTCATGACAGCCTTCCTGGGCTAACTTTTGGGAGGTGCCATTCTGTCACTCGATTCCCGATCAAAAAAATTTTAAAGCTCATATGTCACAATCAAAGGGTACTATAAGTGTACCAAATTTCAAAAAGATCCAACGGTCGAATTAAAAATTAGACATGTTAAAAGTTTGGTCATTTTTGTTGTCATGACAGCTAAAAAGCTGTCATAACAGCACCTCCGGACTAACTTCGGAGTGCATCATTTCATCATCTAACCTCCGATTGAAGCGATTCCAAAGCCCACATATTACTTTTAAATAGTACTATTAGCATACCAAATTTTGCAAAGATCTAGCGTATGGATTGAATTTTGTGCATGTTACAACATCATCATTGTTGCTGTCATGACAGCACTTTTGATAGTTCCTCTAGAGTAAATTCTGGAGTGATCCGTTTCTCCGTCCGATATCCGATCGATGTGATTTCAAAGCTCACATGAATCTTGTAAAGGTTTTACTTGTGATCCAAATTTTAGAGAAAACCAACAGTCGGATTAAGATTTGGACACCCGGATGCAAAAGTGCAGTTTTTTAGTAAAAACCATTTTTAAAATTGTCCAAATCTCATCTTAATGGTCACAAACATGTGGGAACACTTTGGACACATCAAATAAGACTAAAAACACACCTGATAGAACATTTAAATGATAGAAAAACCCTTTATACCAAAATTTGACCACCCGGGTGCCATTTTCCAAAATGGACCATGAACTCGCAAAATGCACAAATCACACAAGAGTGGCAAAAAATTATTCCAAATA